AAAGCAGAGAGGATCTCTATTTGTTCTGCAGTAAAGAAGCTCTTAATTAGACTATTGTTCCTCCTGTGTAAATATCTTGTTTTGCCTCTGGAACTGGGAAAATTCACTCTATCTCTTGCTGTTTGGAAAAGGCCAAGTGACATCACACAGCAAGCTTTCACTTTCTGACAAAACTAATGTGTTGATTACTTTGCTCATGCCGTCAACAAGCAGGTGAGTTCTCTCTGATCAGACACACAGAGCTACTAATTTAACATGTGCTTTGCACTGCTTGGCACACGGGGTCCAACCCTGCTCTTGTTTTCACAAGTATAAATGGAGAGTCAGTTTCTTGCCACTGTTTTGGATTTACGACACTACTACAAATTAACTTCTTCTGTAATGAGAAATCCACAGACCTTTGTGGGGACCTCACTACAAGGGATATAGTATTTTTGCTGAAATGTTTAATTTGACCTTAGAGAAAGGATAACATTTTGGGAACAAATGGCAGAAATCTATACCTCGCAGTCACAGGGAAAATCTTTGTCAAGCTACATTCATGGCTGAATTTTGGGATACCTCAAATTTTATCTTGTTCACAGAAGTTTTTATACCTCTTGTGTTCTCTTCGGTCAACTGGACAATGAGAACAAGGATAATGTTTACAAGGCTGAAAAGAAGGCTCATCTTAAGTTTTGTTGCCGCTAGACTTCTGTGGGAGAAACTGGGATATCACCAAATAATGGTACTTCTTGCAAAGCAAGCAAACACTACTAGACTCTCCTTTAAGGTCATTTTATTTTCAGTGAGAAGTTAAACAATTCCTGGGTCTGCTTAACGGCCATATGGAAGCCCTCTGGCTGACTTTGTTAATCATTCATTCTTCAGTTTGGAGTTAATTGTTTACTAAAACTGTTACGCTATGTGCACTGAAAGATGCCTTTGGGCTCTTAAATCAGTGGGAATATCTCACTAGAACAACAGACGCATGCCTACTGCTACTGCAGCTGCTTCAGCATGCGGGACTCATTGTCACAGAGCTCCAGGCTACGCCACTTCTGCCTCTTGTGAGGATCTCTTCTTGGGTTGGAGTAGAGCAACATCCCTACCCATTGGCTAAAATGAACAAATACAACTCACAGATAAGGTAGTCACAGAGTGATGCTGCACTGCCCAGCTTTTTTTTCTCTGATTGCTCCGCAACATGAGGAGAAAAATAATGACACTTCTCTGAACACGATGGTTATGATCACTGCAGCCCCAGCACCTCATGAGAGAGTGGTGCTGATACATTGTCTGAAGACTTGGCTTTGGTTTATCATGAATTTTGGATGGTGCTGAACCAAGATGCTGGGCAGAGCCCAGCAGGATAGTGTCTCTTTTCAGGTGGACACCTGAAGGCCCTGAAGGACCTTTCTCTTCATAAGGAGATTTGTAGAAGCTAAATCTTAACTAACACAGAGGGAGAAGGATTCTGCCCATCCTGGAGGCTGCGGGCTGCTGCTACAAAGATGGCACTGGTTCTGCAAGCCACTGCTAAATTTCCAGCATGGCTCAAGATATAGTTAACAGAACAGCATTATGGGATATTGAGGAAGCCACTTCTCCACACGTGCTATTCCTTTCTTCTTGTTCGGCTCTAGTGATGGATTTTGTGAGGTATACTTCTTGCTGCTCAATAGAGACCAAAATCTTTGCATTTATTCAATACCTAAGAATGAACTGCTATCAGATCATCCCTGATACAAACCAGATCTGGATTCAGACAGGCAGCATTCAAGAGGAAACCTTCAGAGAGGCTTGTGGAGTCTCTGAGCTACCCCCAAACACACAGGGGAAAAATAGAAAAGAGAGCAACAGGCCTCAAAATGATGGCTTCAGGGCTTCCAGAGGACCAAAGCATAGGCAGGAGGCAACATAAAAATAGAAGCACAGAGTCACATTAGGCTCTGCTGCCCAGTACAAGCCGCATTCCAGTTGAACAGCCCTGCATTCCTATCTGAACCACTTTGGACTATGCGCCAGATACCCATCTCAGCTGCATCCTCAGCAATGCTGGAGGACTTATGCCTGAGTGAGAATGGAGCAAGCAAGATCAGGTTCTGGCCCAGCGTCAGCCCCAGTTCTCCTCTCTGAACTCATCCAGTTTGCTGACAAGCCTAGTTAGCTTTCTAGAGACACACGGCTGATTTACTTGAGCAATTTAATAAAAATGTGGTTTTGACTGACTGCTAATAGGATCACTTGAGATAGGCTCAGCTGCTCAGTGTGGGTTACAGTTTTACTTACAAGCACAATAAGCATGGAAAACTATCTATGATGACATAATAGGAAAACATTACAATCTCTCTTATAAGACAAGCAAGGTTTTTATATACGTTTAATATAAATTTCTTGGTTTCAGCTGGCTTCTTGCTACGATTTTCTGCTTGTGTTTTTTCCAGGGAGATTTATTTTTCTAGTGTAGTTTTTCAATCTGTTCCTAGTGTTGGCAACGTGCAGAAACAAAATAATAAAGATCAGAAAAGACATAATCTTATCCCCCACCCCCATTAAATTTTGCCTTGCAGGAAGTTCAGTAGCACTAACCCCTTTTGCTTTGCACAGGGAACTCTTGAACTAGCCCATGCTGGTACAGTGAAGTGAACCAGATTTCATGGTAGGCTCCCAGATGCCACGGTTATCAAGTGCAGTTTTTACAATGTAATTAGTGCAGAATTAAACATTGCACCTCAGAGTTTTACCACCTGTGTAGGGTACGAAGCCTTTTTACTCTGTCTGTGCAGGGTAAAAGCACACTACGGAGCAATAACAAAGCCTTAGCCATTCTATCCATGTCTTCTCCCTGGTTTATACTCTGCATTTTGGGGTAGCCCTTGCAAGCATCATGTAACAGAGTAATACTTATCCAGGCTCCTTTGCACTGCTGTGGTCTCTGGACTGTGGCAATGGGCAAATTCTAGCCCGGAAATTCCTGCTCTCCCCTCCCACCCAACCTTCTCTCCCAGATTTATGACCAATTCTGCTAAGCCACAGAACTTCTCAGTGGTTTATATGAAAGGCTGCATTATTGTCTTGGGTCTCCTGGATCTCATACATACTTTGCTGAGATAAAAACCAAGTTCCCAATAACAAGAAAACTGGCATCCTATTTTTCAGGTTGCTTGTTGCTGTCCTTGAGAGAAAGGGTAGGAGATGCCTGCAGTCTCCCTGGTGATGCGCGAGCTGGAGGCAGAGAGCCAGTCAAGCTGCTTTCAAGCTCTCACACCAAGGATATAAACCAGATCACACTGAACAGCCTAGAAGAGAAAGCAGAGAAGCTAAGAAAGGAGGCTTGACTCTTCCAGTGGAAACAGCTGTCTCCTCTCATGCAGCCAGAGTACCTAGCCTCGTTTCTTCCTTCTCTCTTCTGATGCTCCTTCCCGCCCTAGTCACCTCATCAGGGTTGGTGGACATTGCTACAGCTTCTGAATGGCTGAATCCTGTCACGGCAGGGCACTGTTTTCCTCCAAAGAGGTGTTTCTACCACTAAGACTGACTTCTGAAGGCATGTTTTAAGGGTATGTCTCCCCTGGGGGGTTGGCACTCATGGAGATGTGTGGGTGCAGACACCTAGCCTGGCATGTTTTAGGCTATCATCACATGTGAGTATGGCTTGCCCTGCAGGTAATGACTGATACCAAAGAGATATGTCTTTTAGAACACAGATGCTTTGTGAAGAGCCCCTTATTCCCCTCATCCTCTCCTTCAAAGAATAAAAGGCTAATCAATGCATCTATTATCTCCTGCCGTCTCCTTAGTATTTCTGTTTTCCTACCAAAACCTAGATTCTAGTTTATTTTAATAGAAGATGCTATCTGTGGACACCAGGTAGTGGTCAGATCAGAGGAGGTGAAAGAAAGGGAGGGGAGACGCCTTGGCAAGGAGACGATGCAAAGAGAAATGCACAGTTCAGTGGAAGCATTTGCATCCACAGAAGAGCTGCCTAGTTGCTCTCAATCACTTAGTTCTGCATGGCTCCATGCAAGCAAGCCTCAAATCTTGGCTTGACTCTTAATGTCTCAGTGGGTTTGCAGCAGAACAAGCACTGCTGCTAACAGACTGTGCCTGCCAAACTGCAGAGCATGTGCTCAGAGTTGAGCTGCTTTACGTTAGACTGCATCCTAGGTAGCAATATCAGAACACCAATGCTTAGTAGGATGAGCTCAGGGGATCAAAGCCTTCCTCCTCCCAAATGCACAGGACATTTCTTAGCTAGGTATCTCAAAGGAAATTTGAAAGACCTGGGACAAATGGTGATTTTCAGATGAACTGAAAGCCCCACTAAAAACTGTAATAAAGAAACCAGAATGGCTAGTCATCCCTGACCACGCTCAACTTCTGTGATCAGATCTGTACATGCTGTACCTTGATTTGTGAACTGTTTTAAAGTAAAGTTCCTAAACAAATCAGATACTGAGTGAAAACATGTTAATGCCTTTTTGTTAGGCATGTGATGAAAGTCTTCTTTCACTGTTTGCCTGATAGTAACTCAGTAAAATCCTGCTTACCAAATGTAACACTGTCCCTGGAAAAACGTGCATTTTTTTCTTTTTGTAATAAATGGAAGAAGCTTCCCCATCTATTCTTCCCCCTCTCTCTCTCCAATCACTTATAGCTTGACAAAACACTATCAAGGGACAGCTGCGCACCCCCATAGCCAGTGGGGGATGGGAAGTCTCCAGCACCTGAGAGGATCTATCCTCCAGTTCCTATTTATACCTTATTAACCATGCAAAGAAGAATGATAAGTTGCAAGATCGAGTGACGCTTATTTTCCCCCTTACCACAATAGTTAATAAATTAGGAGTTTTTTTTTGTTTATCAATTTTCTGCAGACATTCAAACAAGTTTGGGAGAAACTTAACATCCTTCAAAATCACATGAATTAATGCCAGCATTTGGCACGTATCACACCACCAAATCAAGCTATAACATGAGTTGGAAGCCCAGCCCTTGCTAGTAAAGTAAACGCTTACCTTTCTTGGTTTCACTTTATCGTGGTAGTCGTATTGAAAAATCCCCTTGTAGCTAAGTCCTAACCACCAAGGAATTCCCTGCTTGTCCTGGAAGCAAAAATAGAGGGAGCTATATGGAATGGGAGAGGGAGATACTGGAGATTTCTTAGGTTGTTAATCAAAGTAAAGATCTGTTTCTAAGCAAGATCCTTGAATGCTGTGGGTGCTGCTAAATTAGTCCTGCTAAATTTTCCCAAGTCACCAAGCTCTTTTGGTGTTTAGGGGAGATCTGTTGCACTTTCAGCCATGACATATAAAACCATTTAAAATGCATCACCTGCCATTAAGTTACTCAGAATGCTGTCAGGGGAGGTTTAACTTTGGTCCCTTGTGCCATGGTACATCCTCTTCCTCCTCCTTGTAAATTATTCAGTTTGAACGCTCAGATATTGGAGACGAAGGAAGGAGAATCACCCAGCTGACTTGAATTATGGGAAGGGATTTTAGCATTAATCTTGAAAATGCAGCATTAATGGGATCCAAGAGTTACCAAGTGATAAGGGCTGACAGGCTTGGACCCAACTGCTCTGCATCTGAGTATGCAATAAAACAGTCTTATGGAGTAATGGCTGATATCTGATACCAGCCTCTTTGCAATTTGCTGAACTGGAGTCCTCAATGAAATTATATCTGTTCTGTTAATGTGACAGAGAAAGGCAGGGTAAAATCCAGCAAAACCAAAACCTCCACATCAGGCAGAAGCAAAGCCTATTATGTGCAATACTTGCTGCCTCACTACTGCTCACTGATGCTTATCGATCATGAGGAGTTCACTGTAACAGCTCTCAACTGCTTGCAGGCTTGGGCACCCAGCCCAATCCATCAGTTCTTCCTTGATCTAGAGCAGTCCAAGAGAGCCAGGTGCAAAAGGGTGCTGGAGGTACCGTGCCCTCTGGCAAAAGACAAGGCTAATGCTTTTCTACAAAAGACCGTGCACATTAGCAGAAATAGACTAGGACACATCTTCCTGAGACAGATACTGTCAGATATTTGTATCTTTATGGTACTGTATGTGCACAAGATAACAGAGACATATGAACAAATATACGAGTTGTGCAGAGAGATAATGATGAAACACATCACAGCTCCAGGGATGTTAAGTGATGGGAAGTACTTTGGGGAGCGTGGATCTAGCTTTCTGTCTATGTTTATTGATTTCTCCACTTAAAAAAAAAAAAAAAAAGCAACCCTCCACTGCCGGTCGTGCAGGAAAGTGATAATAGAAGACTGGGAGATCTGGTGATAAATCACTAGACAAAAGAAATGAGAGATTTCATGAATACCTGCATGAAATCCACATAGTTAGAAATAGAGAATGGTTCGGAGAGGGGGACATGTTAGTTCTAGAGGATGGCCCAGTGCTTTGGCATTAACAAGGTACACTGTATCTATATCCAGATATCTACATGTCAAGTGAATGGAGCTGTAGCCTGCAGATCATGACTGGCCCTAGTTAGCTGCTCATAAATCTACAGGCTGGGAAAGACGTGACCTCCTGGAACCGCGAAAAGGCGCTGGCTTGTCACTTTGGTGCCGGTTCACTGGCATCACCAGAGCTTGCTGCTGCTTGCGGGCTGAACATCCTAACACAATAGAAGGATTGCAAGAATTTTATCTCGAAGAACAGGATTTTCCTCTCTGGAGTTGTATTTACCAAACATTCACTACACAGTTGAAATAAGTTTACCCTACCACAGGAAATGAAACAAGACTTTAGTAATAGCGTATTGTATTCTGCAAGCAGGACGGTTATTTGTACCTCTCCCCTCCCCTCTCCAGCATCATTTTAATTCAATAAATGACTCTTTTTTAGTAGAGCTTACCTTTACCGCGTAATAATGCACTCCATACGTTGGGAGGGATTCTACAATGCTCATATAACTGCAAAACAACACATAAGAGAATAACATGTCTGTGAAACAGAGAAGATATTGTCTGAAAAAGAAATACTTAAATAAATAAATAATTAAGTTAATACATACTTAAAAATACAGTATTAGATGAGATGGCGACATAGTTACATATTGGATTTACAGCCCAGTATAAATATTTCCTGACAAAACAAATGTCACCAAAAGGTGCTCTTATTTCACTTACTTCACAATTGCTTGACCTCTTGTCTGACCATTTAGTTTCTTGTAATGTTCAATGACTCGGTCCTCACTGGAAAGGAAGAAATGACATGTTTTATCTAACTGCAGTATAATATATAAGAAGCTTGCCAAAAGGTGAAGAGACACTTCTGTTAACACAGCTACTAATTGAGGGAATCAAAACATGCCAAGCAAAGTGTTACATGATGGGATTTGATGCAGCCTGGGGAAAATAAGGGCGACGCAAAGTCTCAAAACAAAAATGGATTTCTAAGAGCTGCTTTTCTGGAAGAGGCTCATTTTATTCACAGACATTGTGTCTATTTGTACAGACTTTTCCTCTCTGCCTAACTTTCCTTATCTAAAAATGTCACCCGTGATGTTTCATTGTGTGGCAAAAAGATGTGTATTGGAGCTGCTCAAGCTCTCTTTTGCCCTAGCTGATGCAAATACTTTCCAAGCCCACTAGACCTGTTAGCTAGTAGAGCTTTCTGAAACTGGTGGCCAACCATATCGCTAAGTCTCACAGACTACACCTCACAGCAGCTGCACAAACCATGTACAGGAGCACTAGTGGAAATGCTCTGGAGACATCTTTCTTAGCAAGGAGTTAAATTCTTAGTGTACACAGAGTCAATGTCTATATCAGCAGGTTAAACAGTGGCATGGAATGTTTCCAGGCACTCAAACTCAGATGCCTACGCTGTTAAAATGTAGATGTGTTTGTACATACTTTTGACTTATACTGATCTGCATTCTCCCAGGTAGCCCCTGACCGTGGATTGGGAGTTTGCTTGGGGCAGGGTCCATTCCTAGTCTAGAGGCAGCCACGCTGCTTTGGAGACTAAGAGATTTTCACGGTATGAATGAAGGCTTTTCCTCACCACTGGGCCTCAGTGTTTGCTATACGCACGCCGAGACATACACTCATACACAGTATGATGCAGCATCCAAGAGCAGCTCAGCATTATCCAAGTGATAGACTGAGAGACAATTGTAAGTTCAACTTTGAAGAGTTTCAGTTTTACTTCTGCAGTGAATGGGTAGCAGGAGGGCACAGACCCAGAGCCAATGATGTGATGCACGCAATGAGCTGTGATAGCAAAGTCACAGCATGGCAAAGTATAAGCCAAGGTTCTCCTTTCAAAGGTTGACAGTGTTCTCCTTTGACTTTCATAGCATTCCTCTGGATGTACAGCCATGCAATCCATCACAGCCTCCAAGCCTGGTGATACTTTCAGACTGGTCTGACTTTGGTTCTTTTCTCACTTCCAACGATGCAATACCCATGGGACCAGCTCTGTCAAATCGACATGACAGAAGACTCAAGTCCTCAGGTTTAAACCCAGCCTCTTGCTCCTTGTGTGGTAACACAAAGGATGAAGACTCCCTACTGAGTCTCCTAAAGGTGCAATGTAGACTTTGCCAGTGCAAGAGGAAGGAACCCTATTTTTAGGCCACATTTGTGCTCTCCCCACTTGGCACCCCACAAGCTTCCAGTAGTACCAAGCGTCTATCTGATGCCATTATCCAGCATGAGGTTTAGGCCAACGAGAACTAGCACTGCTCCCCTCCCCACGTTTCCCAAGGTCCAGTTTGCAGTGGGGTCTTTAAAGGCAGCCGCAGAGTTGTCCACAATGCAGTAATCCTTCTCCTAGGCAGAACTGAAGCTTGTCTCTTCACTGATTTCCCCATACTGGTCCTTGTGCCAGAGAGATGTGTGGAGCCAGAACCTCCACTAGAAAGAAGTTCCCCTGCCCCTGCTGGGCTCAGGCCTGCCCACAATGCCCATAAAGCCCTCTGTGACACGACAGGTAGAGGCCACACAGAGACTGCTATGACATCACATACACGATGCTCTATTCTGTGATGTCACAAGAACATGCTGCACTGTGACATGACAAACAGGCTGTTTAGTACACAGATAGGGCATGGGGCCCTGGCAGATGGGAGCTGAGGACTGTGCATCAATTCAAGCATCCTTGGTAATACAAGGAAGAAGAGAGAGGAACAGAAACAACTGAGTAGACAGCACAGGGTGACTCAAAGTAGATGGTCTATCCCATTGTCAGCAGGGCCAGCCGTTCTCGCACAAGGCTGGCATTTGCCTGAGAATAACTGCTTTCCTTGCTCTCTTGCCAAGTGACTTCCCTCACACATCCTGCCACACTAAAAGGCTCTCTCTCATTGGGTCAGGGTGAAGAGATGTCCCCCCACCAGCCCTCCACCAAGGGTACAGGGTGCCGACTGATTTGGTGACAAATTACATGGTTAAAGGAGTAGTCCAGCTCTCCACCAAATTCCTCAGAATAATTTTAATGTTTAGAAAATGATCTTTAAGGATCATGAGCAGGCATGAAATCACTGTTCCAAGCAAGTAACTTCCACAGATGTTATGGGCATGCATCTGAAGACAGAGCTTGGATCTCCCGCTATGATCATTGTAAACAGGATTACTTTTGGAGCAATAACTGAATTACACACGTGTTCAGTATTGGAAGATCTCCAAACAACATCATTCTTAATGATAAAGACGGGCAGAGAGGGCTTACAGTCCTTTGTAATTACCTTCTAAACCCATGATTACATGTGGATGCAATTCATCTTCCTCTCAGACAGGAACAAATTAGAAGTGACCTCACAGAAACCACGGAGTTTCTCCAGTGGAAAACTCTTGTGAGGTGCTAGGGATTGCTCTTTGCTTTGGTTTATACTCTGTGCAGATTAAGCCCTGATATTGAAGCCATTCAAAGAATGGATACATACATCAACCTACTGATTATCTAATGTGATTCTGAATGTGGTCTGCTTTCTTACAAGCAATTAATATAAAATAATTGATATGTTCTTAGACCATATCTCTTGCGTAAGGAAGCCAATCGATGGCCCATTTCCTTCACAGGGATAGATAAGATGTCAGGGAGCTTTTCTGAACAGTAGGATAAATAAAATTATGTTCTCAACCTGTACTAAAAGATATGGGATAGTCCAGGCTCTCTCAGTTCTGCTGAGCAAATGCAGGCAACACTCCCTATGCCTCAGTTGCCCCTTCAAGATACTGATGATGTCCCTGTCTATTGCAAAATGTTCTGAGGTCTACAGATGGACAGTGCCAAGAAAGTATCATTCTTGTTTCTACTTTCTTTTAGATGAAAAATAAAGCCCGTATTACGAATGGAGCCATGAATACTTACAGTGGGATTCCCTGCCTTTCACCTACATCTACAGTGCTGGGCTAGCCACACTTCAGGGAGAGAAACAGATACTCCAGAGAACAATTCATCCAATCTATTTTAGATGTCTTCCTTGGGAGGAGGTGACTGCCACTTCTCTCCACTGACAATAAGAGAGCTGAGGGACTCAAACCCAGGTGGAGATGTCTGCACTGAGGAAAAGTACATGGTCATGTGAATCCCACCCTGGCTGCCTGACGGTCATTCCTCTTTCTAACAATTCTTTCTTTTCATTCCTGTAGCCCTGTGCAAGGAAGATCATCCATCACAGAGGTCATCTTCTCTCTCCAACTCTGAGAAGAGGGGCAGGCCCAGCATGTGCTAGGGAAAACAAACAAAATCATTCATGGGTCAGGAGGAACATTAGCAGAGCTTATAAACAGTCTCCCCTGCCATTTCAGCTGTTCATGTTGAGCGGCTGCTGTGCTGTTATTGACAGCTGGCAGAGTGCTGGGACACTGCCTGGACCACCAGCTGACGTCTCTTCTCCCCCAGCTTTGGCTTGTTGCTGTGCCAGTGACAAAAAAACTCATTCATAATGCAGGGATCACAGAGGGCACTTAACTAATATGGAGACACGGGGGCTGCCAAGGCACTACTGTCTGTTTGGCAGCTCATAAAACATTCCCCCCAAAAGCTCCAAAACGAATACACGGATGATATCCCACAGCAGACAACTCTGATAAAGATCTTAAGAACTACCAGGAAATCCCTCCTGTTCGGCAGCTAACAGAACTGGATGGCAGACAACTTGCAAACAAATGCAGGGCCGGAGTTTCTCATCTTCAGAGCCAGATTTCAAAGGTATTTATTTCCCCCCTCTCCTCCTAGCACAGCGTTTTAAATAGCTGTCCATTCATTGCTGTGCCTTACTGTCTTCCTGTTACCACCCTGATTTGTCCATTTTGAGGATATTCTCAAACTTGCTAACAATGTCTGTGTTTGCAAAGATCCACGCAGTCATATACTGTCCCGCTGAAGCCTGCAGAGCACCTCTCGGGCTTAAGGTTCCAACAGCAGGATCAGAGCCTACGGTCTGTATTATATTAGTCATTTATCTAATATAAATTTATCTAATCAGAGCCTACGGTCTGTATTATTATATAGTTATTTAGCAAAACTACAGAGTAGTTTACAGATGATATTTTCAGAGTGGGATTTTCTGGCAACCTTGATGCCTTAAGTTGCTAAAAATAAGTTTTCATTCAAAGTCTATTGGAACATGGGAAGAGTCTGCCTTCCCTCTGGTGCTTCTGAAAATCCTATTCTAGCACCCACTTCTGTGCTATTGCCTCTGCTCCTTGCATTCTTGCTGACAACTAGTGCTGGGCTGGCTTGCTGGGGAGGATCTAAGCGTAGTTAAAATGTGATAACAATGGGTGGAGAGGAGCACTGTGAACAAACATGCTTTCCAAAGGTTATCTCCAGCCTAACTGTGATTAGTTTTGTATCTAAATAACAAATACTGTCAATTGTTTCCACGCATGGGCAAGAGAAATCAAAACTCAGGGCCTCAGTTCCTGGATTGTGTGGGAGGACCAGAAGCCCAGCTTTCACTAAAAAAAAAAAAAAAAACCAAACCCCAACCCCTCACTTCTTGGTTCACCAGTTATCAGTGATGCTAAGAGACGCTTGAGAACGACATGTGCAACAGATCCTTCTTAATCTGTAGAGAGCTGGAAACAGCAACTTGATGACATATGAATTACAACTGTCATCTTTACTGTCTACAAATACTGTCTACAAATTTCCAAAAAGAAGTCACAGGGAAGGGAAAGGCCTGGAGCAAGGCTGTGTATCCAGGACAGCCCATGAAGGTAGAGCCAGAGGTCCCAGACTGTCTTGATTCAGCTCTGGCTGAATCTTATCTTGGTGAAGCTATCATAGTATCCACTTGACTGTCTGTCTTATTACCTCTTACTCCATTTTGGACTATTTTTGATGCAGTTTCAAATATACTGTAGGATTTTTTTTTTTGTTTGTTTTAAACTAACTAGAACAACTACTCCTCCCACCCCTAACATTTTAAATGTTTCTCTCCGGAGCTGGAAATTCACTTGCTATTACTTTGTGCTAATGCTGGAGAACTGACTGCATATCGAAAGAGACAGGGTGAAATTGGTATCAAGTATATAATTTGCATGAGGTGTACAAATGAAGGGATGCAGCATGTCAATAAAACCAGTTTTAAAAATCTGCCTTTTTAGATCATTGAAGCTTGTTTTCCAGAGGCTTTTTGTCTGATTCATCAGCCGTCTCTTTGTGAGAAGGTTCACCATTTCAGAGAGTGTTTATGGAAAATGCATTACTAAAAAAATAATGAACTACATAGTGTACAATGGGTCTGTAAGACTTCGTTACTGAAGCGAAATCACAAGGGAGTCAGAGGACTGCAGCCACTTGTTTTATTACTCTATTGGAAACAAACAACTTCCCAACTGGGACCTTTTCTTAGTCACATGAGAACTCTCTCAAAATTAAGCACAACTGCAAGGAAGTGCTGGATCTTGTGTATAACTGCAAACACTCGCACTTTGAGCAGTATTTCACACAGCTCTTCTTGCTCCAGGTGACTCAGCATAGCCCAAACCCAAGGAAAGTGTCTGTAAGGAGAGAGGCAATCCCAGACTGCATTCAGACTTCCTGGCCAAAGTCCTTATTTGACATGGGCATGGTGACTAACACTCATCAACAGTGGGGGCAGACAGAGCCTGATAGGCAGCCTGGGTTGTTACTGCTTTCCTGCATACAGATCATCACAGGCAGCTGAAGCAAAAGTTATGTGAGCACTGTAATCTGAAGTCCACGCTTCTTCTGAATTGTCAGACTTGCCCTCTCCTCTCTCCCTGGCTATTTGTTCCCACCACTCCTCTTGTGGTGGCACTTGAGCTTGAGTTGCCTGTCTGTCAGTCAGACCAGGCAACAAATCTGGCTGGAAATGCACCATTTTTTAATTCGGTGGATTAGTTTGTGAAAAAAGGAAGATGTTCCAAAGAGGGAGGCCATTCTGCCTCCAGTGAAATTGCAGCCTAGGCTTTATCAGATTTTCACAAAAGGTTGGTTCCATTTGGTGGTTCTCAGACAGAAACACCAGGAGTCTGTGACCATGCACAGCTTTTGTATTAAGTTCCTAACCTCAGCCTGGGACTCTGAGTCTCTCCTGATGCGCTCAGAAAGTGGTTAGGCCCTCGTAGACTAGCTTTTCTGCAGCTTTGCACTAGGAACAGCTAATTCTGGTAGTGTAGCCATGCTATGAACAGTAGATGGATTTCCTGGAGAAGGGAAGAATTGAGATCACAAACCACAAACCAAATTTTTTTCCCTGCCATCCTTAAATTACCAGGATGTAGAAATTAAGAGCAGCAGATAAGATAACTTCACTCCCCTCCCCAGCTTATACCATAATGCTTTAAAGACAAATAAGAGGAACAAAAAAAAAAATCAAATGAAAGCATCTTCCCATTAATGAACAGTATTCTCCCAAATTCTTTCTTACTTGCACAGATAAAAGGTAGAGGAGAGGTGGCACAGAAGCTATCTGTGAGTATACAAAATTTAACTGTGACCCTTCTCCTATTCTGGATTTTATTTTCAGTGCAATAAAACCAGAGTTTACAAGCCCTCCTCTCGAGCATCAGATAATATATATAAGAAAACAAATGAGGCCCTTTTACTTTGGCTATGCCATGAAGAGAAGACTTGCAAGATGAGGCTCAACCACTCAGAAACAGTGCAGGACAGCACTGACAATACTGACATTTTGAAATGGGTAAACTTTCTCTTGTCTTTTCACAGATGCAGAGCTCTGGAAAAGGAAATGACACATTAGGCCTCTTGATTTCAGGGGACTTTCACATTTACAACAAATTTTGTGGGTAGATATTACTGCAGACATTTACCAGATGGGGAAACTGAGGCCTGGGGTGATAGCTCAACTTGCATTGAATCATGCAACGAATCAATGGCAGGTAAGAGCTAAAGGGCAGGAATCCCTGCATTCCCACTCTCATCTCAGATCGCTAACTGCCGCACCCTGGCCCTGGATGAGACACTGCACAGTTTCTCAGCAGACTGATACATTACCAGTAAGCAAGTGAAGGGTGCTCCTTCAGCGCTGGTGTTGGAAGGGCTGGCAGCTTCTTTAATTCATTCCTTACAACTTCATTGCTGAAAGAGAGTTCAAAAGGAGGATCAGGCAACAAGAAAACGACCACAATATTTGATATGACCTGACCTAGCTGGCAGGCTGCAAGAACTCTGCATCTGTTCCTCCTTAACAAAAGGTACTGGGGTTTCCTTCCTCCTTTCTCTTTATTTTTTTTATGGCAGCCCAGTTAACTTTTCCCTTTATTATCAAAATTGGAGAGAAGCTCTCCCAGATGGTTGCATCGAAGCATTTCCTATCACTGACTCTGAACACACAACCCACCACGTCACACTTCATTGAGCGGAGTCCTATGGACACATTCATATAGAGAAAAAAAATCAAGGGTAGAAGAAAAGAAAAAGCTTTCAAAAAAGAAAAAGCTTTCAACTGCACATTTGTTTAATGCCTTATAACCTGCTGCAAAAAGTAATGAATCGTTTTCATAGCAACACAGGTTGCTCTTAGCATATTGCCCCAGTGCCCTGGCCTTTGCACATCTTCACTGATCAGGTTCCAGCTTGAATCTATATACTGCTACACAAAACCCTCCGTGGGACCAGGCCTAACCACTTCTCTAACATTCCCCTCTCTGCAATCTGCAGGGACCGCTCTGGCCAGCTAGAGCAGCGTAACTGCACACGAGTGAGCAGGGAAAGCTCAAGAAAGGGAAGGCAGATTCTTGTAGATGAAATGAAATCATGAGATGTTCTCTTAGAGACCCCAAAAGCCCCTACTCCCATTCTTAAACGCACACAAAATTGTGCACTTGCAAAAATATCTCAAAGGCTTGGGAAGGAAAGCAGTAGCGCTGTTACTTTAAAATTCTTAGAGATATGCAGGCAAGAGGATCAGACAGGACACCGAGGAGCACCAAATAATTAACATTTATTGGCTTCCTTCTTAATAGCAGTTTTTTCTGCCTTCTTGTACTCTTCCTTTTACCCTGCCGAACAGCGTGGCTGATCTGGAGCCACAGATGCAGATCCCTTTTCCAGAGCTCCAGATTTCCCAATCCATTGGCTTCTCCTGCATGGCAGCAGGGTCATAAGCCAGGCAGATATGCATCTTGGCATCCCCAGATGTACAGCAGCCCACCTAGCAGTAAACTCTGACTCCTAAAGGCTCAGGAAGCCCTGGTCTCTGGGACAGGCTGTATGGTGGCTCCTGGAAGCATGGTACCGCTTCAGTTGTTAACAAATATCTTCCCAAAGTGTTTCTCCATGTGCATATCCCAGCAGCAGGGCCTGCCCGAGCCCTTGGTGGGTTTGTCTTAATTGCTAGATTGAGCCACAGCGTGAACATAAATCCTGGAACAGGCTTTTTAGACATGTCTATGGGCATTTATTATCATGGTATTCCCTGACAATCAGTTAAGTAGTGTTAAAACACGACCACAATTTCTAGCTGAGACAAATCTCTGAGAAAGATGCCCCCGTCTAAATTAGGTTTTGCTAAGATTTTGCTGGTGGGTAAAGATGTGTTGAACAGCACTTACAAGAAATGACAAAGGCAACCTCTTCCATGCTAAGCACATAAAAAATCACTCAGTAGCATCTCATATGCCAAGTTAGATGACTCGTGGCAAACAGTAATGTTTGAACACCCACTTCTGCCTAAATCCCATGGTCCTTGGACCATCAGCTCTTCCTTCGTAAGTGCAAATATTCAAAATCTGTTCAGATGTTTCCTTCCATGGCAGGTAAATATATGCACAAGTCTGAACAGGAAGCTACTCTGTTCCACGTTATCTGCAGATCTGGCCACGCTGCTCTGTGAGTGACAGCCTAGACAACAAGCTGTTGCTGTTTAGTGTTTACTGGGGTCTGCCCAGTAAACTGCACTCCACGGCGTGTGCATACTCAGTTTTTACTGGTTTTTTTTGACACAATGAAAATAACTGAAAAAAACCCAGCACAACTGGAGCACAAGCAGCTGTCACTGCACTCAAGGGAAGGTTTTTTGAAGCTGGCTGCTCAGAATGGTTCCACAGAAGGAAGTTGAGAAATTTCCAAAACTCTTCTGGGAAGATAGGGAGTAGTTTCCAAACAGGGACTTTCTGAGCCCAGACTGTTATCAAATAGGACGAAACTAGTGGTGACTAACCATCTTTGAGAGTCTGGGAAAAAACCTGAACCAGTAATGGCTCCTAGGAAAGGAAGGGGTAACATTAGTCAGCCCCATCTTTTCCACAGAGTTGCCCTTGTGATAAAACATCTATCAAGTATCAGAGGAAAAGCCACTCTTAGTAAGGGTGTTGGATGGGATTAGAATTTCTGCTCAGTACTTAGAAAATAAAGGGAATGTCTCATAAGTCCAAAAGGCCAAATGTATTTCAGGTAATCATTTCCAGGAACAAAAAGGTATTTCACTCCATGATCTATGCATTCACTAACTCTTCTGGCAAGTCTAGTCTCAAGACAAATGAATTTAGACTCTCCAAAGGATGTTAAGTGAAGAAGGAGGAGGAAAAATAAGGAGTCAGGTTGCATTTGAACTGGTGACTGTGAGGTCACTTTCCTCTTGGCTCCTTTTAAGACACCAAAATCCTTACTTTTTTAAATGTTTTCAATAGAATCACAAGTGGTTTCTTACTTGCTGCCTTCCCTGCTCCTTCTATTGAAATATCTCAGTGTGTTTATTTTATTACTGTATTTAGACAGTGTTTGTTTAATCCAGTCACTTGTGTTGCATTTATTTTATACTCTAAAGCGTCTAAGCATGCCTCCAGGGTTGGTATATATGGAAGGATGCTTTAGATACAGATGTATTAATATACAGAGGAAAGATTCTACACTCATTGTCGCTGTGTCCTCCAGACCACTTCATTCCTGCGTTATGGTGGAAATCCTATTATTTAAAAGACGGAATAATAACAAGAAAACAGAGCAGTAAAAGCCATCTGCAAGGGAGTCTGTAATTTGGTTAGATATTCAAAAATAGGGCTGATTGATTGGCTAAAGAATGGACCTAGAAAACAGGAACTCCTGAGTTCTGGTCTTAGTTCTGGCACTGCCTGCTTAATGAGTCTTGGCCAAATAAACGAGTCTCCAAATCTTGGGATATCTGTCAACATATGGGGGTAAAAGGACTACCTAGACACTTCGTAAGGATATTGTGGAAAACTGTTTTTTTGCCAATTGCCTGCAATGATACAGAGCAAGATTACATATACAATTATGTCTCGGAAAATTCATACGTACTCCAGTACGTGTAGTAACAACAATCAGTTACAAAACAAAATTGCGGGTGAAAGTTCTCAGCTCTTCTTAGCATGGCAATTAACTCTGTTGAATGTCAAAGAAAATGCACGGTCTGAGATTTAGGATCTCCTCCATGAGGCTGCAAGATAGAAGGATGCAGGCTGGGTTTTGCAATCCCTTAATGAATTCTAATTGGTTAAATATCACTTGATTACACAGACAGAAAGGTAAGCTTGAAATTGTGTTAGATTACCACCTGCCATTACCTTGATATCATTGTAAAATTCAACTGAACGGCAAGCTGGCCGTTTGCTTTCCTCCTATGTTCAAATTTCGCAGGGAAATGCTGGACTTCGCTCAAAACGTCTCATATTTCTTGACTGGAGGAAGTCTAGAAATGAGAGCCTGTCTCAGAAACTAGCTGCAACATTTCAGGGTTTTTTTAATTTAGGCTTTTCTTTTCCCTCCCCAAATTGGGGGTTAAATGATCAGTGTATGTTATTTCTGGCTGCCTTGACACAGCTGCTTTTTAAGGTTGAAGAGTTGGATTCTGCACATTTTAAACTGAAGCCAGTGTGAGTTTCTCCAAAGACTTTGGTCAATGTCAGACTTGAATCCAGGATTAATTTAGAGGGAAAATCTCAACTATTTTAACGATATGCTCTGCTCCCCTTAAAATTAGCCAGGACACCCTAATGTCTTCCTGTATGTAGGCCTTAAAGAGGGTAACATCTGTAGGACTTGGGTTTATCAGAGGAACCTAAACTTGTCCTGCTCATGCTCTGCCAAGCAAGAATGACTCAGCTCCTGACTAGAAACAGTATTAGCTTGAGCTAATAAGCTTTACATCTCTCTGCAGGATACTATTTGAGGAGCTTTATAAATGTGATTCTGTACCTTTGAAGTAAAAAGTTTTTTTTCTGCTATCAAAAAGCAAAGATCAAATCTTAAGTGTCCTGCTCATCCTGAGAATCAACTGAACAATGATACCTGATTGTCCTACATTCAGTGGTATATCCCAGCCTAAAGGAAAACCTTTTTCAGCCCTGTCAGCTGAAGCGTTTGGGGAGTCTCTTATAGAAAGTGAAAACTGTTGTCCTTTAATGAACAAAGGACTAGGAACTTCTTAAGGTGAATAGCTTTTTATTTTAAAACCTAGCTGAGCAGTAATACCTTGCCTCAAGTTCTGCCTAAATCTATATCAAATCAGAAACGTGCCCGTTATACAATTCTGCTTGCAAACACTGAATTGGAGCAGGCCACTTGCATCAAACCCCGAGAAACACTTTTCCTAGGGCAATTCAGACTACTTGCTCTCCAGGCTTAGCCGACATCGGGCAGTCATTGCGACGCTCAGGTTAGGCACTTCTGCTAGGTGGCCAGAATCAGCACTGAGAGACTCCTGCATGATGATGCCCAACCGAAGGATGTAGGACATGTGCTTGAAATGCCACATAAGTCCTTTCTGAGGAAAGAAAAGCAGAGTACTATGAGCATAGCTATAATCCCCAGGTATGGGATGAGTTCCTCAAAAGCAGCAATGAAAGCTGCTGTCATTGTAGGTGCAACAGTCCACAAGGTTGGAAAACTGCCTCCAAGGTTTTGTAAGATCAGTTCTGGTTTTTGAGCTCACATGAGGCCTAAAGAGTAGACTTGCAACTGCATTCAGCAGGCCTGAACTAGCCCCCTGTGATCTACTACCTAGGTGCAATGGGGTTTGGAGTTAATAGGGTTAGTTGTGCTAAGACCACCATGCACAGGTGCCAACCCACAGCTCAAGTTGTGACAATTTGATGTTGGATACCACAGCACCTGAGGTGATGGGCAGCAATGCACAGGAAGGCTCCCATGGGAATAGCAATTCTCCCATTGTTACGAATGAGCCAGTGCTTATGCACTTTCCTGGATCAGGGCCAAAGAGAAACATGCAGTCTTACAGGCTGTAAATCTGATGGTGGCAGCAGACAATACATGTGTGGAAATCTGCAGTCTGCATTACAAACTTGCAGCTCTTCAGAATTAACTTTTTTTTCTTCAAACAAAAAGGTAGGGGTTGAAGAGTTCAGCCTTCATGCAATGTTTGCTGCCGTCCACAACATATTACCTTTAAATCTCAGTAGCAAGAGATTCAGTAACTGCAGAGCTTCTCCATTTCAAAGAATAGCCAGTTTCATTACAAGCAACATTTCAGCAACAACTGACCTCAAACACTGAAGCCAACTTCAGCCCTAACAGAGGTTAGAACATTTTTCTCCATTTGCAGTTACTCCTGCTAGCCCCAGGCTTGATTTGCCTCTCAGATTTTACACTGCTGATATGAATAACCACAAATCTCAGTGGGCAAAGTCTTGACCACTACGACCTCATGTTGAATTTAGTAGCATTTGGATCTCACCTAGCACATAAACCCTTGTCAGTGCACATTAGGTAGAAGCTGCTAGACGGACAACCCTGAAGACGCTAAGTCTCCTCCTAGAACATAGGGGGTCAAGATAGGTTTCTTCTACCTTCCTCCAGCAACCAACAACATGCTTTAAACTCCATAAATATGGCAGGTTGCTTTGCCTCCAAAGCCCACTTCTAACTTGAGATCCCTGGCAGTGTCAGTGTGCCAGCAAGCTGTTATTATAAAACCACTTCTCCGCCTATGACCCGGATATAAGGTTACCACCTTCCACTCAAAGCCTTTGAGAACCACAGGTGAAAAGCACCAAGAGCTAGCTGTTTTAATGGTGATGGTGATAACTGGGGCCACAACAACATGGAAAAAGCAGTTAACGTCATGTATTTTCCGTGGTCTTGAGATCTAGCCAAATGCACTGTGGTAAATTCAATCATTCCTTTTACAAGTGACATGAAACAGCTTTGAGCAGATGGATGCCTTCCACAGGCTATTTCCAGGTCTGGAAATGGATACCTGAAGACAAAATGCTCTCAGTCTTATTACCTCAAGCCATCTAATTGGTTCTTTCTGTCCTGAATTTTATACTAAGCTAGGCTGAAAGATGCTTTTTGCATGTGTTTTCCTCATGTCCAGGATATTCTGAAAAACTTTAAATAGTGTTCTTCATAGCAAGATCAGTGGAGGACGTGGCTTATCACAGGTTTGAATGGCAAAATTCTGCCGCGTCCAGCTGTTCTGGGCTAATCACTTGGTGGGGTATGGAAAACCAGACAGCAAGTAAAAAGCCAGCTGTGTTCCAGTGCCCCCTAAATAAACACTGCTGATAACTGAGTTATTCTGAAGTGGGTGGAACTGAAAAATGAAGCAAGACTGGGCTTGTGTTTCTGTGGTCAGATGCTTGTCAGGTTTTTGCAAGCTGATTAAGGTTCTGAGAAATGATAAGGCAGAACTTGAACTTCCTTTTATCAAGGGTTATCTTGTGTCATCTCACATTCCAGGATGAGCAGGCAATACATGTAATGCATTATCTCTTTTCACTGATTTGTCCACATTTAGCTGGCTAGAAATCTGTGTCTAACAGAAGATGGGATATTATGTTTATCTGGTCTCTCTGTTATTCATTATCTTCTATGGGTCTACAGAGCACTCCTGCACTCTTCCCTCAGCGTACCTCAATGCTGACAAAACAGACACCTCTCCATGCTCTGCTGACAATCTAACCTCCTTGTCCATTCAAACCTTGTTTTCTTTTTTGAAATCAGCTTCAGTGGATGTGTGATCCTCCAGGTGAATTCAGGTCTTTTGGCATGGACAGTTCTCCTGGGCTTCAGATAAAGAACATTCATGTTTCTCACATGAGCCATCAAAGAGCTATCATGTGATATTGACCTTTGGTCACTATTAATATGTAACTCATGGATACTGTCAACTTACAGGAAATTTAGGCATTTTGTTAGCAGTCTTCTGAAACACCATGCACAGTCACCTCTTTGAATTTCTTACAGCACTTCTAAAGATTAGGCTCAAAGGATAGCAGAACTTCAAAAACCCCAATCATTTACATCCTGATTTTGAGAACTCTGTCCAAATTCAAGCTGAAATATCAATTAGCAACGGAATTTTAAGCCTCTGGCTGGATATGTGATGTAACAATTGTGGAGTCATTTCCTTAGTAATTTCCTTCTGGAGACTACTCTACTTCCTGAACTTCATGGGCATATAAAGGCATTCGTCAACAATGGAGTCACAAACAATGCTGTTTGCAATGCATGCTCTGGTCAAAGGCTGTTTTCTGTGAAGAAATGATTTCTAAGCTAGCAATGCATTTCTGTTGCTGCAGCTACAAATGGTGTCGCATCACTTGCACAGTGATTTCATCAGCTTCATTCTCACAAAACGCAATGGCAAAAAATTTAAGTCACCTACCTTGAAAAATCTCCTTTTGCCTCCTGTAAAATGAGGGAGGGAAAGCAAAAATATATTATTACAAACAGAAAAAAAAAAAAAGAAAACTACTGCTCAAGACTTGCCCTTTGCAAAATTCATTTAGCAGCAATTTTCTTTTGTAATTGATTTCTCAAATATTTTCTGGAACCAGTCTCTAACGGACTAAGTCAAGTGCCCTGACACATATGGCAGTAAGCTAGGCAGATCTAACAAACTAAAGGTTTGCGAAATGTGTGGATGGATGATTCCTCATTCTTCTTGTGGGTACCCAAGAGGCTGCAAGAAACAATGCTAGTAAATAAGTAGGTATTCTTTTTGCTTCCTACGGAAGTTACATTACTATATATCTCCAGAGTCTCAGTGACTCTGAAAACCCTCTTCTTACAAGTATTCTGGTTACTTTAGTAACTAGATTTTGAATAACCTAGCTCACTCTCAGCTTTCAAGTGGATGAGGTTTCTCTAATTCCTCACTGAGTGTTTGAGGGAGTATTTAGGTCCCTTACTTAAATACCTGAATATCTATATTTATCACCATGACAGCCTTATGCTAAAGGGCTGGGTAGTGTTCCACTCTAGCAGTTAGATTAATATCTGAGTCTTACTGGATATCTGCAGAGCCCTCAAAATCTGCGGAGTAACCTCCTAAATAGATATAATACACATTTTGCATTTCCCATACACAAATTGTATTTTACACAGTGAATGCCAAGCTCTGCATTTGCCGCCACCTACCTACAAAGCACAATGTAACATTGTAGTTTATAACTGGTCAGTAACGTAACTTTTGTTTTCACTGCAAAGAGAATCTGGTTTTGCATTCAGGTTTTTGCCTCTGCAGCCATTGATCCACCCACAAAACCACTCAGCCCAGGTTCAACGAAGCTTTAATCCTGAGGTTGGGGTAAGTTTGGGCTGGTAACACATCACTTTGAAGTAAAGATGTAGACTAAATCACTTGAGTTCCAACAGTCCTTTAGTACCTTCCCATTTTCCTCTGAGCAAACTGAAGGGCAGATAAGCTCTCCTATTCTTTACAGGAAGGAATCTTCATGCGTATCATAATTATAGTTCAACGCACAGCAAAACCCAAGGGATACGCCCTAGACTTGTGCAGGGATGAGCATATTAAAATGAAAGACAATTTTGCAGTGCAGAGTCTCTGTACTTCATTTCTCAGACCTAAATGCTGTAGTGAAAATTGAGAAGTAAAACAGATTGCTGTATGATCCCTATTGTTTTGCTTGGATACTGTCAGAAACAGGGATTGCAGTAATTTCTGGTTGCAGACAGCAGAGGGGTGGCCTGTTTTGACTGCTTTTATTAAGTTACACATTAAACTACTACAAGAATACATGCAACATCCTGTGTTTGTCTGTGATGAAAAACACCATCAGAGCAATGAAGGTTACAGTGGCAGATCTGGATCTGGTTGTACAGTTGATAATTGCTCAAGTTATTCATTAGGATGAGCAGACAATACATGCATAACCCTACTGCTGATTCTCATAAGGAGCCTGTTGTTTGATGTGTATTCCCCCAACACGCTAATATGCAATTTCTATAATGTGCTTTTAATTGAGTCCCCTATCCTGACTCTCTCACTCCATTTTTGCTACATAAAATGATCTTAATGAAGATTCAAATCCCTATGCATTAATTGCTTCCTGAAGCAATTTTCACATGAAAAGTGCTACAGAAGTGCAATGCATCGTTATTTATTAGTGCAGTCTGATGAGAAAGCTCTTCTGCTCACACAGATCCTCATGGCTTCATGGCTGACAAAAAAGAGATTAAAAGCTACACTGAAAAAATGGGGAACAAGAATCATCTGACAGTTATCTCTGATCTGCTCCCACAGCCATGAATGTTCATAAAAATGGATCTTTCACAAAACCCACTTCCATTTCCCTGAATAGATTCTTCTTTGGGAATCCCAGATTTACTAAGCTCTGCTGGTAATCTGCTCTCTGGCCTCTCCCTCTTCCAGAAGAGCAGGACACAATTTTTGTTTCTGAATGAAGTTTTTGGAAAGTCTTTGAGCCTTTCTGTCCACATTGGGGAATACAGACAGCTGCACACACACAAGCTTTCTAGTGGAGATTTTCACTGAGCCAAGCTCCAATGGGAAAGCAAATGGAACTGAAGTCCCTGTAGGGGAACACGTCATATAAGGATTTCACTGAGGAAATCTCATTCAACATTTAAATTTTCTCTGGCTTCAAATCATATCCTAAGGTCTTTAATATCTATGTTGGTGCAAGGATAACAAACATTTATGTATGCAAAATGTTGGGCAGTGCTGTCTGCTTCCTGGATGGAAAGTTCTGGTTTGGGAGCCTTCTGTATCTGTTTTGCCTTGTTATATATGATGAAAAGAGTGTAAGCACAACTTTTGTAGCTCATCTGCTGGCAAGTGAGAGGTCATCTTCATGGCAAATCTGACAGGACTTGAAGGCTGCACACATTCAAATTTCAGCCACACAGAGAGGGAAGCCTTTCTTCCCTGCACAGGGTCTCTGGGCCAAGAGGGAGCGTAACCCCTCTTAAGCATAGAGTTACTATTGTCCCAGTGCTAGTCTTCCACCTCCTTCCTGTCATTGTCCCACAGGTTCAGAAAGGACAGATAACTATTCCTATATGTCATTGGGAAAGAATCACAGTGCTGCAGTTCTAGGTCCTGCAGATCCATGGACAAGGGATGTGGGACATTCCCTTCAGATCCTGTTAGTGAGGACAACATATGGCCCCTTCCCACCCTGTTCGTGTGTCTAGGCAGAGCTGGTAAGCCCTGTGCCCCAGTGCGGCAGAGACACCCTAGCACAGATCACTTCCACAGAAGCAGGAGCCAAGCCCTGAGAGTCACAATCATTCCCATCCTGCTCTTCAGCATTACTATGGTTACAAATGAGCATTACATGTTCCAATTTTCTTTTTTTCTCCTATAATTTGGGGAATCCTGCCACTTCTGTTCAGCCCTTTTGGTGCAATTTTGCAGGCCACCAAGACGTTTGATGCAACACAAGAAAGCACAAAGCAAAAGAAGGCTGCTGCTTACCTGCAAGATGTAGGCAGCCAGTTCAAACACCACTTCACTATCAACCTCAATGAGTTCCTTCACAGGTGAAAAAAACAAAAAAGAGAAAGACAGAAAGTTCGGTCAGTTTGAGCCCCTGCAAGAAGAACATGCATCTGCTCTTGGCTACCGCACAGTGAAGTATGCAGTGCCAATTTTCTCCCCTGGCTAGGCTTCAAAGCACTCCCTATGTTCCTGGAGACCAAAGTGAGGCTGAATCTGCCCATTGTGATGTGGAGAAAGCCAAATATTCAGCATAATGGCTTGGTAAATGAAGCATAACTGGATGTGGCACGAAGGGATTCCTGAGCAGGAGGGAGGAGATATCAGGTGGGAGGTGGGGGATCAGGGTCATTTTTATTTTCTTGTATGATTCAGTGAAAGGTAGTCTGGGAAAAACGTTTTCTCCACAAAACACCATCCATGCTTCAGGGGAACACAGCTTTGTCCTTGGCTCACAGAAGCAAGAAAATGAGAGCATTTGTCTTCACTGAAGTTGTGTCAAAGCCCATGCAGAACTTTTCTGACCTTTGTCCAGGCTAAAATCACAAGAAAAGGAGCCATATTCTATCCTACTGGATGGGTGTTCTGGTTTCGGCCCCTCCATCCCTACAAGCTGGGGCTGGGGTTGTTTTGGGAATGAGCTGTGAAAGCAAATCTCTTGCCAGATCTGAACTGCTCCATTCTATAGGATGCAGATACTGATAAAACCAATTGTGGGGGGGTCGGGTAAAATTCTGACGGCTATGCCTGGACATTTCGGTCACACAAAGGACTCTGATGGCCTCATGCAGTCCTCTCAAGGTCCTTCTTCTACTGTACCTGAAATGGTGTTGTGCTGGAAAATGGGACAGCAGAGGGCTGCAGTGCCAGAGTGTAGCTAGGAAGTCCAGAGGACCTCCGACTTGTAGGACTTAGGTCAGAAACCTCCAGCCACAGTCAGGCACCACAGCATCTCCCCAGGCACCTGTGTGCTACGTGCTGGCAACTGGTGTCATGCGCCTAGCTATCTGCCTCTGGGGAACAGATGATCACAGAACAGAGGGGCCCGGGCACTCCTCTGTCTGAATATGTGGGATGCAGATCCACCAAAGATGTTTGGAATGAGAGGCAGGAGTGTTAAACTCATGGCGAAATGCACTGTTACCAAATCTCTGGCTCTGGACAAATGCTAGCTTTTGGGAACATAGTGGGCTGCTTCGCTGGAGATACAGTTTTGGCCTCAATCTTGCAACTAGATCTCCTGTGTAGTCTCCTATGTGGCCATGTACATGGGTTCAGCTCACACCTGTGGTGGCTTTTCTGTTTATTTATTTAAACTGCTGCTTTCAATATTTTGCTTCATCTGGAAAGAACTGAGTGATCTAAATATACATCACTGTTGTGATCCATGCTCCAGTGAAGCAGTGGCCACACCTCATTTACAAGCCACAATTGCCGTATTGGCTTGTCTCTGGCAAAGTCAAAAACAAAGGGAACAAAACAGAGGATAAAATCCAGGTGTCCTTGGCTTTCACCTGTGCCAGCTTTTTAAAATACACACTTGCCTCACCTCCTTCATAACGACTCCCTGAGGAATGAAGACCAGCTCTGCCACGGGCAATGAACACACCTTCCCCCGTTCAGCTGAACTGTCTGACTCACACAGGCACCTGCACTAACCACATACATGTGCCAAGGGAAGATGAGTGGTGTGATAAATTGGTTCAACTATAAACAGGGCCATACGGGGACATTCGGGCATATCCTATAGCAAGGGGTCATGCAGAATAGGCCCAGGAGGAACCAGAGTGCCTGGTCTTCCTCTGTCTTTGATGCACCAGCTAGAGTATGGACAAATCAGCCTCTGCAACCACATGACAATGTTATGGCTAGTTCCTACTAGTAGGTAAAATGGGCCAGGGCCCATTCACTGGCCTTAAGGGTACATGACACAGTACAGCTCATGACTAAACATTTTTCCGTTCTCCCCTCTCCAAACAGAGAGTGCTACATCTCATCTATATTGCCTTTTGGGAATAGGTGTTCTTCCCTGAACACTGCCCAAGCAATATCTGGGAGAAGGCTGGTTGGCGTGGGCCAAAATCCATGCCAAAGTGTGCTAATAATTCAACATTAGGACTGATAGTGGGACAGCGCTTGATGCCAGGGCCCTGTCTTTTTTGTTAGTACAGATGTGGCTTGGCCCTTTTTGACCAATTTCAGCTGTGCTAGTCCTGTGACAAGGGTTTGGGTGTGTGGGTCAGTGGGCGCATAGCTGAATTTCTCAGTACACAACTAGATGGGTCAAAAGGAGCCCTATGCATAGGCAGAGTAGGACAGGGCCCAACATAGACCCAGCTATCAACTCCAGTAGACCTGCAGCCGCAACCTAGTCAGGCCTCTCAGTTTTTTCTCCCAACATGAGAAGCCCTGCACATAGAGACATGTGAGGGTGCGTGTCTGGAGAACTGAGAAATGTGGGAAGGTCTGAGCTACTAGCATAGAGCAAGGAACCACAGCTATATGCCGTGTGGCCTTTCCTGGCTGCAGGAGAGCCTGGGGTGAGCCCAGCAAGGAACCTTTTCATCCAACAAGGAAACTTTCAAAGTTTGCAAGCTTGCAACACCTACTAGTTGCAGGGAGGACAAGCACTGGTTGTGCCTAGATACTAAATCCCCTTTTCTATACCTAGAGGATTCCTCCAGGCATGCAGGCTGGGTGATCACTCTGTGTCTGAACAGAGACCTTGCACCCACCTTTCAAATCCAGCACTTTCAATAACAGAGCAATGCTTAACTGTGGCAGGAAGTCAGACAGGGAAGGGCTTGGGAGGGAGACTGGGAAGCCAACAGGGCTATTTTTGGATGGAGATGACAGTCAGCTCAAATGTGCAGAGTAATGTTTTCAGGAGAGGTCAGACTAAAATAGACCAACCTAGATCTGTAGGCATTTTTTTTTCTCTTCTTCTTTTTCTTAAGCTTTCTCCAAAAAAAGAACAGCAGTGTAAGCTTTTCCTGGCAATACTCCAAAAAAGAACTTTCCCCAGGAACCAAAATGCGATGCTCACTGAGCTTGTTGCTGGAGAGGGCTGAGTAAGCACATCTAATTGCAGCCTTGCCAGAGAGCAAAGCTCTGCAAAGCTCTGCTCAGCAACCCTGCCTCTTCCTCATGCACTCGAAAAAGGGCATTTGCTCACTCCTCCTATCTTACCATGCATTCTAGGACATGCAAAGTTAGTCCTTGCATTTTTAGGACGTGCAGAGGACAGGAAACTAGATCCCAGATTCAACGTAAACCAGTTTGCTCAGCAGTTCACAAGCCTGCTTAGGGTGGTGGGACAAAGGCACAACAATGACCGGCTGACTGCAGATGTCCCTTCCTGCCACTTCCTCACCAGCAGATGGGAGGTGAACCACTAGGAATGGCTTCTGCCAGTGCAGGGTGAGGTAGGAGGGAATATAGCTCTATTCCAGGGAATATAGCTGTCGAGAGGCCTCTCCTAGTCAGAACAGTTCAAGTCACCCTCCAGCCCACCTGGCAAAGTCCTTAAACAGCCAGCCTCTACCTGGACTCAGTCGGTTCAAGCCATGCATTAAAGGAAACAGAAAGCCAGAAAGTTTCAGGGACAGCAGGGAGGGGAAAAGTCTGATTCGGTAACGGCTGATCAGGTAGCTCTCAGGCAGGACCCAGCAGGGCTGGAAACCTGCTCCAGGGCTCAGAGGTTAATTTTCCAGACTCTGCACCTTCCACTTGTGAGCTTGGCTTGTCGCATTGCAGAAATCAGCTCTGCAGCTCTGCCACCGGTGCTCCAGCTGGGGTAACGGCGGCAGCCCGACCCAAAAAGCCCTTATCTCTGATACACAGAGAGCCTTTCAACAGGTAGCTCTGGTTTAGGGCCCTAATGATAACAGGCTGGTGTTTTCAATAGCCTACAAGGCTGGGCTATTTTTGGCATAAAAACCATTACCCTGTGTACGGCTTGCTCCGGTACAACACGGCCTTCAATACTCACAGACATCGCCCCTCCACTCGCACACATACTCACGGACACGGACACAGGCACCCCCTACAAAGACACCCACACGTTCATACCACACACCCACATACACACTCACACGCACACATCCCTAACACACAACTCACTCATGCTCTCACAGTCGCACGCACACACAGGCACACACGCACACGCGTGCACACAGGCACACACACACACACAGGCGCGCACACGCGCGCACACACACACACACACGCGCACACACACACACACACAGGCGCTCACACGCACGCACACACACACGCGCGCGCACACACACCCACACACACCCCCACACCCCCACACCCACGCACACACACCCCCACACCCCCACCCCCACACCCACACCC